AAAAAGATTGATGATCGGAGGAAAAAAAAAGCATTCCAAAGATAAGCCAAACAATTACATGATAATAAAAACAAAAAGGCAGATTTTTTACATTTGGAATAAATATAACATCAGGAAACTAAGATGTAACAACAATGTGTATTTTTTTACATTCAGAATAAATAGCATGTCCGAAGATTGAGATATAACCAACATCCAGGAAAAAACACCTGTGAACATAGAGATGATATTTCCTTCCCTTGAGATACATGTCCTGCACATATGAGTCTTCTCCACTTGATACCTGCGGAGCTTTTGCAGCATCTGACTCTGAGATAGCATACGCCATTTGTACAGAGCCACCCCCAAGATCAACCACTCCAACAGTACCGGAGTATTGTTTGGCCAAATTTCCCAATAGGTAGTTAATGGTCACCTGTAAAATATCTCAATTTCTGATTAGTTCTTAGCCAAAATCTGGCAGAAGACGATAACAAACAAATTAGTATAGATTGAGCAATAGTATTATGCAATCATTGTAGCAAGCAGCAGCAATATCTATCCACAGTCCATACATATTAATTTTGTGACTCCGGGGTAGCCGGTTAGGTCAAGGGTCTGCGGTACCTGAATAGGCCTTTGCATATGATAGTTTTAATGAGCTACAATTCTTAAAACCAGTTATTTCTTTTACATCTAAATTTCTAATGTGGAACAATTTCTAATTGGAGTATTGGGCCAATCACAAAAGCAAGGACTTCCGTTCTCTTTGCTTCAGATACCACATATATTATAACAGCCAAAGATGAGTTAAACATTGTTTTGATTATTCTTATGCACTCATCATGTTATGAGTTCTTAGATATACAGGAAACCTTGTGTAATGGCAGATTTATCATTTCAAGATCAACCTACATGAATAATTGAAATCCTTGTATATTGAAATGCAGAAAAACATCCGGGAGTGTATACTAGCATACCCATTGATAAGCGCCTTCCTGATTTCCATCCAAAACAGTTACCCAGTCCGCCTTGGACTTAAGAGAGCTTTTATTCTTCAAAAAGTCCCTCACCTGTGGAAATTGGTTTAAATGTATAGCACGACAATGATTTTGGAAAAAGGAAAAAATACAAATGGTATATGAACTTTTGGAGCATTACTGCTTGTAAAATCCTGTCAGATGTATCGCCTTCCAATTGCCGTAGACCTGCAGTGGCCTGCATGAAGATCAGCAGCATTATATAATTTGGGAGGATGCAAGAAAAATAAAAATAAAAAAATAAAATCACTTTTGCAGAAAAATGGCCTAAATTCCCTACCCCAATTCGAACTGGTGTGCTGTGCCTCAGTTCCCTAGGAACTGCTGCTTCTGCTTTCTCAAGAAGATCTGCGAGTGAATTTGCAGCAGCCTCAGGATCTGTTGCATATCCACTCAGACCCGGTTTTCTCTACAAGGTGAAGGCAAACATAATGCATAAAAAAGACATAAAGGCAGATCTATGTAAAGTAGAAACAGCGCAACATAAAGGCAGATCTGTGTGTGGGTTTAGAGAGAGAGAGAGAGAGAGAGAGAGAAGATAAGCCCTGAGATGTTCAATAGAATTAACTGAACTAACAAATACAGTTCGTCATCATTGATAGGCATTAAGGCCCTGGCTAACGTAATAAGCAAAGGATGCAGTAAACCCACATATGTTGTTATTAGTGTCATTTGATAATAATTTTGGATTACCAAACCTATCCATCTCCTTTTTTACGTATAACCTCAGTGGCAATATTTGTATTTCATGAAGTTTATCTACAACTGCTCCAGGTATGGTTAAGTTTATCTAATGATATTAGACACATAAACTATTAAGCCTTCGAAAAGTTCAAACAGTGCAGAAGGGCAAAGTTAAATATAGTTCCTCCTTAGCAAAAACCAAAGAGAATCGCCCTCTCTTTTCTACTTTCCAGTCATCATTGTACCCTCCCCAACCAACCACTGGTTGAATACAAGCTGCTCCAAGAAAAGGGAGGTTATTACAAAGACATGAGAAGAATAGCTAATCCATCAGTACACCCATAGCCTGTATGGAATCATTTTCTACTAAATTCAGGCACAACCAGAAAGAAAATGCACATAATGGTGAGAGCTATGCCAATGACATTCACACAGACGGATAGTAGAATAGGTCATGATAGAAATTTACCTGTAAAAAGAGCTCAAGATCTTGGCCCATGGGAACAAGATCAAGCTGCTGATTGAAGCAGAAGACATGCACCCTACTGCCAGAGCTACCAGCATCAAAGATGACCGCATAACGCGTAGGCATGAAGTTGGGAAAAATTTTCCGGGAGATGGAATCCGTTGGGGACTTTGCCGGCATGAGAAAGAGCACAAAGGAGATAAGTAGGAGAGGAACTAAAACCAATAGTATGGGACTACGCCATCTAAGGATCTTGTCGTACATGGACTCTTGATGCCGGTTTCGCTTCAAAGTCTTATCCATCTGAACTTGCTGCTGTGCATCAAATAGTTCGGCAGCCGATGGAGACCGGTATCGAATATGGCCGTTCCCTCCTCCAGGTTTCGATGACTGTGCATCCTGTACTGGCTCCAGCTCTTCTTGATTATTGCTTCTCCCTTCAAATCACATCAAGACCATGGATTTTACTCAATACATTACCAAATCAACCAGATCTCAACAAAAATACGCACTTTGCAAACTAACGTGTAAAGAAAGAGTTTACACTCTTGGTTCGTACTGTTTGATTTTGATCTAGACCAATATGGTCCCCATCAATGGATTAGAGATGATCACCTATGGTTTAGCCTTTTTGGAGATCTTTAATAATGTCAAACAATGTTTCATTTATTATTTATCAGATAATATATTGGCATTGCAGTTCTACTAATTAAAATAACCAAGTGAGCCATTTCACGCTATTTAAAAATCCGTATGAAATTATAAATCACAAGAAATGTGATAGCTATAACCACCAATTTAACTCAAGCTTTGGACCTCCAACGACCCAATTATTATAATGAGTTAGATATATCTGAAGAGCGTGTATAGCAAAAAGAATCTTGGGGAAAAAACACAGCTTGACACGAGTTCGAAATCACAACAACCAAGTTAGCAAATAACTACCGATTATATCAACCACAAGTAAAAATCCCATCATGTTATCTTCAAAAGCCACACACAACCAATTTCATGGAAACGTTTACTTTTGCAAAATAAAACACACCTTCGAGAACGCAATCCAAATATCACTCAATTTCCCTCACTTCCTAGCATATTATGTCTCAGCCTAGACTACGAAAATCACACTTCTAATAATATTCCGAATAACTATCTACAGATTGGGCAAGATAATATGAAATGAGGAAATATTTCAAAAGAGAATATGATCCACCCCCCCCACCCAAAACACACACAACCAAAAAAAAAAGGGGGGGAACGCACATTATTGCTCGTATCTGAAACTAGCGTCCTTTTCCCACCTGATCAGTAGTGAGAAAGCACAGAGCGGGAAAAAGTGTTTTTCCCTTCAGTAGCATTTTCCCGCAAGCTAAAACCCGTAAACAAACCGATCCATTTCTATTTTTCGACTAGTCGGACTGATCTCCCCCTGCCGTCAAAAATCAAATTTTCTGTTCACTCAAAAAATACTACAGAACCCAAAAAAAATTTCTGTTCACTCAAATTTTCGTTGCTTGTTCCATGCTCTGAAATTAGATACGATTTCTCGGCAGTGGCTTCTATTCGTGCGTAAAATCCACTAAATTTCGAGTTTTAATTTGAACCGAAAATTATGTAAAAACAGATTTGCAGATCCATTTGCATACATGGAGTAGATAATGAAGAATCGGAAGACTTACCGCCGGAAAAGCTGGTCTAGGCCGATGAGGACGGGAGTTGGGAGGGACTTTAGAGTGAACGGAAAACAACTGAATTAAGCAGCCTCACCAAACACCGCCATAATATTCCGATCAACTCAGAACCTTTCTTTTATCAGTTTAAAAAAATTATTGTTGGTAAAACTGTTCCTGGTTAAATCTAAATATTCTCCAATCCTATCATACGTAGAGTTTGTAACTGAAATACTTCTACGTTTTGTAGTGAGATTTGAGTAGTACTGTCATTCACAGCTTTAGAATACTCGTATGGTTTGTGATACTCAACAATCTACTTGCTCTTATTTTACAGAAAAAAAAAGAATATTATGATTCTATTATAAATTAAATATATGGGCCCCTCTGTTCGGAAGATTGTTTCCTAAATAACATTAATCATGACTTATCCATTATTTTTAAATAAAATCAATTGGATACAATCTGATCGGATACGAGAACCGGTTTATAACCAGTCTAGTTCGCTCGAATAAATATTTGCTCTCGAATCTGTCAATACCAGTCGGTTGGACGGGTAGGATCGATACGATTTTCTAAATAAATTTTGTTATATTTAAAATTATTTTAAATAAAATTAAATATTTAAATAAAATAGAGATTTATAAATTATTTATCAATTAATTTAAACATTTGAATTTATAAATTGTTTAGATATCTAAGTAACACATTTTATTTAAATTTGTTACAACAAGTGCTATATATATATATATATGTATATCTATTAAAATATTTAGAAATTAAAATCTGAACAAACCACAAATGATTTAATAAAATAGCTTGATCGTTTCGATGATGGTCCAGTTCTAAAAACCTTATATTTACTGTACATTAATAAATATTATAATAAAATATTATTTAATTCACATAAATATTAATAAATGATATATAAGTATTCATAAATCATTAAACATGTTGTCATAAAAGTATTGTTAATACGATTATTTGAAGTTTGGACTACATCACATTCACGTAATAAAATAATTTCAATATAAAATTTATATGTAGGTTCAATAATCGATTTGGTGTGGTCGAACTGATACATAACTTAGTCACCTGGGATCAACCATGTTGTGTCAAATTTTTTGACTATCTTAAATATCACCTAAAAGTAATTCAATCAACCTGGGCAGTACCCTAATTCAATCACCCGATTGATCCGAAGAAATTTTCTTATTTTCTTTAAATATATTTAATTTTATGATTCATATAATAAATGTCTACACAAAATGATATTATATTAAGATTATAAATTATATATCTTTTTTTTTTTTTTCGGAACGATAGATGTAATATAAAAGAGCACAAAAGTGCAAAAGGAACAAATTACAAGACCCCAACGGGGTAATACTAAGGCCCCAACAGGATAATGAGACAGGGGCCAACAGCCCAAACCAAAAACACTCCTAATAAACAACGGAAAAGAAAACTGAGAGGACACGCACATGGCGGCCTAGAGAACTCCAAAAAACAAAAAAGAAAATGAAATCAGAGCCACTGCACGATGCCTAGCCTGAACTCATCTCCCAAATTAAACCGAACAAACACACCAAAACACAAACCAAGAACACAACAACAAACAAAAACACAAAAACAGCTACAAACTAATAACAAAGCCTCCCTAAGCCGATACACCCAGAAAAGACCGCAGACAATCCGATTCCGAGGAGGGTTTCGAAACTCCGATACCACGCCCGCCGCTGCAAAAGGCCTAGCAAGACGATGACCCAAGCCTCTAAATCAATCCGAGAACCCGACCCGCACTCCAGCCGCAAAAAGCCACAGAACCCCCCAGCCGGCTAACACCACTAGCCGATCCGACACCCACCCGAAGCAACCTAACACCACTAGCCTGCTCTGGGGGCCGTCGGCCTCCCCGAAATCAAATCGAGAAAGAGGAGAAAGGAGACGAGGGCTTTCCTGCCCGACCGCTACAACCCAGCCCAATTGGCACACATCCCAACAACCAGCCCAAAAAGGAGAGACCCGACCCGCCACCCCTCCCCAACGAGGAACCAACGACCCCCGCTGGAGCCGGAAACCGCCCGCAGCCCCCTCCATACTGGCCGATAAGAAGCGCCCCAACCTAACCGAATCGAGCGGCATCAGCATCTTCCACTCGCGACCACACCCTGCCTAGCCCCGAAACCCCTGAAATCTAGCGGATTTCAAGTGGAGAGAACCGCCGAAACCCTAGCCCAAATCCAGAGGCGACGGAACAAAGGTCAGAAGAGCCGACGCCATGGAGGAGCGGAGGAGGCCGTCCGCTGACTATCCCAGACGGCCGCTCAGGGAGCCGGATTTGGACGAGAAGATGAAGACAGTCAGGGATGGATTTTTCGTTCGGAGGAGAAAGGGGCGTTTTCGCTTTGATTATAAATTATATATCTAAAGATGAATTAATTATTTTTACTTTATGCGTATTAATAAAAAATAAACATAGCAACTTTCAAAAAATTAAGATTAATTGATTGATTATGCAATTTAAGAATATTTTTAGCGTTCAATATATTTTTTTTAAAGGCACAAATATAAAGACCGAGATTCTAAAAGTTTTGTCATATTTTGAATTGAGATTTTATAAATATAGAGACCGAGATTTTATGTTGTTTGTTATTTCTAAGAAAAAAATAAAAATAAAAACATACACAATTAATAATTTTTAGCCGGATTTTTTAAATAATAAAATGAACTAAAACTCGGAATTTAAGGTAGATTTTAATGTTGTATGATTTTTAAAGAAAAAAATAATAAAAATAATAAAACTTACTATTTATAAGCTGCATTAAATTCTGGCCTATTTTTTTGCTATTATTTTTGGTAAATGGTAATTCTTATTATATATATAGATATAGATTTTAAATTTTTTTTTGTTATTATTTATGTTCTTTGATTTATAATTTAATATAATTAGTACAATTCCCGTGTATTACACGGGTGTTGAATTAGAAAGTTTTTGTAAAAAATATTAATTTTTTTATTTTTTTAAAAACTAAAATAATTTAATTTTATATAAAATATTACTTTGCGTTTTAATTAAATTGTCAAATTATATTTTCTTAATCATAATAATTAAACACTCGTACATTAAATGAAAATGTCAACCCGTATTGAATTTTTTTACTGATATCATTTATAAATATCGATATTATTTAGTACTACACAAGTACAAAAATATATATCTTAAAATAAATAGAAATAATATGGTGATATGTATATGCATAAGTGTAGAATATGTTTATTCAATATTAAGCAAATAAATTAATTTTTTTACTTAATTAGATGCCTAACACATCAAGTATCGTATCAGTCGTGTTTCACAGTTTTTTAACTTTATATGTAATTTTAGAATTTAGATAAATAATTATTTATTTTTATTAGATTGAATACCAATTAGATTTGAAATAAATATCATTTTTAAAAGAATACATACCAATTTCTATTACTTTATAATATAATTTATAGTTTTATTTGATATAATTTAATTTAGTTTGATAAATAAATTTAAATTTTATTTATAAGGATATATATTACTGTTTTGTATTTTATATATATAATATGGATGTCAAATCGAAAATAATCAAAATCTAATTAATTTGATATATTATATATGTAAAACCGATAAGAAATACAAAAGTTATCAATTTTTAAAGTAGTTTATGATAACTAATTGTAGAAGTAAATAAGGAAAAAATCAATCATAGATTTAGTGTGATAAAAAATATTAATTTATATCCAAGCTTAACTCCAAAGCATAATATTTTGCTAAATAAGATTCCGTAGCATGAGAGGTTGGCACGTAGACTCAGCGCATTCTGAAATTATATATAAAGGGGATATGTACTAAATCTTCTTATAAGTATTTCAAAAAGTCAAAAATCATATTATAACATGATAACTGCTGTATTTATCAAATATAGCATGGATAAATCTAGTATTCTTTAATAACTACTTGAATAAATACTAACATTTTTTATATTTGTTGAATAACACTTTATTGGTATTAGTATATCGTAAGAAATTATATATTACATATGTTGGCATTTTTATTTTTTTTTTGTTAATAAAAAAGGCTTATAGCCCTATTACACCATCAAGTTCTTACAGAACAAAGGAGAAAAAAAAATTAGAATACACTTCGACCACATTATCGTGGTTTTTTATCCCACCGCCCGCTTAGCAATGGCGTAAGCAATCTCATTATAAAGTCGATTTGTATCGTGACAGAGTCCACAACCTAATGAATCCAAGAATGCCCGGATGTTCGATAAAATACCTTCAAAAAGGTGATGTGAATCATTCGCAATCAGCCCTTGCACTACTTCAAGACAATTTGTGGTGACTTGTTGGATCTTCACTCCCATCGCAGAAGCGATCTGTAACCCAAATTGAATAGACAAAGCCTCAGCCAAAATTGAAGAGAATGAACCTGACATATGGGATGCTAAAACCGCGACTACAAGGTCTTCTGAATTTTTTTATCCAACCTCTTAAACCAATCTCAGAGTCTCGTACAGCTGCATCACATTGAAGATAATGACTATTCTCATTCCCTTTTCTTCCTTTCCAAGCCCAATGATCCTTTACGACGCTTCCAATAGAATCGAGAATTGTGCAAGCTTAGGCTTGATCGTAGTCCTCTATCCATCTTAAGCCTTTATCTATCATTACGTCAATATCACTCAGACGACCTCCCTTCAAAAGTAAATTTCTATCCTGCCACACGAGCCACAGAAACATAACAAAAAGCCTGAAATCTGCTTTCTTACAGCCCTCTGAGATGCTCACAAGCCTCATCCATAAATATTGCCCCTGCCATTTTGAGATTTCATCCCACCAATGACACCATTTTCAAAGATTCTTCACCCACCGAAAATAAAAAAAAAACGTGGTTATTTGATTCCCAGCACCCGCATATAGAACAATTAACGTATGAACTAATATGTCTTCGGTGGAGATTTTTCCCTAAAGGGAGCGCCCAGTGTGACAAACGCCGCATGAATGATTTTATTTTTGGCGGAAGATGTAACCACCAGAGTAAACGCCTCCAAGAGGCTAGACCACTTTGTACTCGAGGATGGATCATCACAACTGAATTTTGAAGAAGGCGATAACCACTGTGAACTGAATAAATGCCATTTTTTTCAAAATGTTATATTAGTTTATCTGTTCTGGCAGGATAGTTCAAAAGGGATTGATAGAATTTTTTCCGCGTCAATAGGGAGAAAAGCTAAATTAATTAAGTCCCTTTTCTAACTCCCATATACGCCAATGAGATCCTGTACCTTTTCCATGCCCAATAAAGGTGGAGTAAAAGTATGGAAATGATAATGTCGATGGATCCACGGGTCTGAGAAAATTTTGATTTGAGAACCATCTCCGACCCTCCAATGTACCCCCATTTTGATGACATCTTGTCCACACATAAGACTTTTCCATAGAAAAGAGGACTCTGGCTTTGCAACTGCCTCAAGAATATTTTTTTCCCAGGGAAATATTTGGATTTCAAAACCTTTGGGACAAGGAAATTTGGGCAAGTGAGAAGTCTCAAAATTTGCTTTGCCAATATTGCCCGATTGAAGATCTTCACATCTCGAAAACCAAGCCCTCTATTATGTTCCGATTGGCACAAAGAATTCCACTTTATCCAAGATAATTTGTTAACCCCATCATTGGACCCCCACCAAAACTTTTGCAAGAGGCTTGTAATTTGCTTGCAAATGCAACTCGGAAACCGAAATAAGATCATAAAATAGACCGACATTGCTTGAATGACAACTTTGAGAAGAACTTCTTTTTCCTGCTGAAGAGAAGAAACATTGATCCCAACTTTTTTAGCCTTTTCCAATTTTTCTCTCGAGTGCTAGCGAAAGTGTGGATTTGACATGGTATTAGTATTACTATTTAGCGATAAGTTTTATTTTGTACATAACATTCATCACACTAACACGTACCAAAACTGTAGATGCTCTTATATATATTTAGGCTTGGGGCTGTAAACGAGCCGAGCCAAGCTCTTAACGAGGCGAACTATAAAAAATTATATAAAAATTCTCTTTTCGAGCATTAACGAGCCTTATCGAGCCGATGTTTAACTAAACAAGCTTAAAATGAGCTCGAGCTTGGCTCGTTAAGACCTCGAACTCGAGCCTTAACGAGCCGAGCTGAGTCAGACTCGTTTAATTTAACAGCACTATTTAGGCTACATCAAGTACTAAATTCAATTTGTGCCGAAATTACTAATAATTTAATTAGTATATTGTATATCTTTACTTATATGAAAAGCCATCCTATTTACTCGAAATAGTAGGCAGAAAAGTCAAAGGTAATTCATGCATTCTATTTCCATCAATTTTTTCAATTGTATTATTATTTTATTGCTAAAAAAACCAGTTTGCATTAATTCATCCTTAATTGATGTGTTTTGTAATAAAATCGGACAGATAGACTTCAAGTAAAAACATGTCTCATTTCAAATTTAAATTTAAATATTAAAATTTCTTATCATTTTGTTACATTAAAATCCTGAATGAATTGTTTGCCATAAAATCGGACAAAATAATAGTTGCATAGAATTCAAGTAAAAACATGTCTCATTTAAAATTTAAATTTTAAAGTTCCTTATCATTTTGTTACATTTTCGAATGATTTGTTTCTCATAACATCAGACGGAATTAATAATTGCATAGAATTCAATTATGATTTCGAATTTATATCAAGGATGTTTAATAATTATATAGAATTTCAAAGATGTTTATTTATTATAAAAAAAAATTAATTCTAAAAAACCATTTGTGTATATTTTGTAAAATGTTTGTATAAAATGTTTTACTTTAAATTTATTTATATAATTTATATTAATTACATTAATAAATAATATGAACATACATTAAGTATTTTAATTACATAAAACAAAAGGAAGAGAAGACTACATCTACAACTTGTGTAAATAATAATATGACATTATATTAAAATAAATTTTATAATAAAATAATATGAATATTATACGAGGAACAAGATCACGTAAAATTATTATTTTTCTTATATCAAGGAATAAATATATATAATGAAATCAAATTTATATTATTATAAACATGTGAGCGAGATAATATAATAGATAATTTACGGGCTAGCGCTACCAGACTCAGGTTTAATGTTTCGACAAAAAAAATGACGTTGATGAAAAGATGTAAAAAGATAGATGATCAAGCTCTATTATTTTTCAGGAGATTAGCTCAACAGCTAACGATAGGGTTGAGTCCCTTCTTAGGGTTTTTCTCTTTGTGAGTTCCAGTTCCTTTTTAGGATTTGTGGTTACTTGAGTTACTTCAGAAGCTATTTCCCTTCGGTTCTATCGTTGCTCTCCTCCGGTTTGTAGTGCTTTGCCGTCCTGATTTCTTGTGGCGTTTGTTGTGATATGTTTTGAAGTCATCTGCGTCTCTTCTGTGTCTTTTCTCTGTTTTTATGGGGCAGATTTGTGTCTTAGGAGTGAGGTCTTGATTTCTTGGGGATTCCCGATTTCTATTGGCACGGCAGGCATAAGCTCATTACCTGATCTAATGGTCTACCACTCTATTTTATAGTTGTGTTTATTTTGTTTTGCCTGTTGTTTGTGTAAGGGTTTTCTCTCTATTAGGTGTAGTTTGCTTGATTAAGTTTTCTGTTTATTCTCATTGTGTGGATTATCTTTTTTGGTGTTGCATTTTTCTTGTGGTTGCTGCTAGAGTTTGCTATCTGGGGTTATGGATCAGGAAATCTCTGATAAATTGCTGAATTTCAAATTATCTGACAAAGAGGTAGGTGGGCTTGAACTTTCTGATACAGATATTGCTCCAGGTTTAAAAGAATGTCAATTAAGCCTGTTAGGACAAGTTTATGGGGAGAAAAAAGTTAATTTTGGGGGTCTGAAATCAACATTAGGAGGGATTTGGGTTACAGCTAACCCTTTCTTTGTTAGGAATCTTGGGCATAATAGGTTTCAGTTTTTATTTCAGTCCGAACAAGATAGGGATAAAATCCTAACTGGGAAATCCTGGTCATTCGATGGCCAATACATCTTACTAAAAAAGTGGGACTCTAAGAACACTGAGTTCAATGAAGAAGATGAGAAAGTTAAAATCTGGGTTCAAATTGTAAATCTGCCTCTTCATTGGATCTCCTTTGACACAGGTCTGAAACTTGGTAAGATGATGGGGAAACCCTTGGATGTCCAGTTTCCAGGAACTAGTAGTTTATATGGCACAAACTTAAGGGTCTTAGTAGAGTTTAAGCTGAAAGAGACTCTCTTGAGAGGCACATTTATTAAGCAAGGTGGGGAATCTAAATGGGTTGACTTTAGGTATGAGAACATTCAGAAGTTCTGTTCCTGTTGTGGTCTCATTGGGCATTCTGATAGGGGTTGTGTCAGCAAGAGAGAGGACATTAACAACAACAAGAGTGTTAGCCCAGGTCAATTTGGGGAATGGCTCAGAGTTTCCTCTGTCTTCTATAGCAGTCATAGGAGTCCTTCTAGTCCTAATGTGGGTAGTCAAGCTAGCACTGAAGCTCCCACTGCATCCCCAGCTCATACAGTGGGTAACAGTGGGATGGGTGAGAAGAGTAGTCAAGGGGAACCTAGCAACTCAACTCCTACCAGCATTTCTGATAAAGGTAAATCCAAAGTTGGTGAACTTGTTTCTACACCTCCTTTGGAATTACCTAGTGTCCTAGAGTTATTGGCTTCCCCTAAGGATATTGCTCCTTTGAGTGATATTCCTTGTCCAGAAACTATAACTAAAAATGAGTCTAATCTGGTGGAAGTCACTATCCAATCTTCTTCTCTGGGAAGAAGGATTGTTCACAGGAAAAAATCTTCTGTAACTAAACAGGGAGACCCTGAGAAGAAAGTATCCTCTGAAATAATGAAAATTGATAAATCTGTGGGGTTTCAGGGTGAAGAAACCAAGGGATTTCATAAAAGAAGTAGTGAAGTGCTTCTTAATGAATCCCACTCAGGGGTGTTAACTGAGTCTGAGAGCAAAAAGTTGAAACTTTCTGATAAATCTGAATTTTTTGTGGTGGAGGAAACCAGCCCTAACTGGTCCCGAGGTTTCCAATGAAGGTCTGTGTGTGGAATTGTAGAGGTTTGGGAGGACCCTCTACAATTTCCCAATTCAAGGAATCCTTGAGAATCCATCTCCCAGATTTTGCTTTCCTTTCAGAAACTAAGAAAAAACAAAAATTTATTGAAACTATGTGTAAAAAACTTAAGTTAGATGATAGATGGGTGTATGTTCCTCCTGTAGAGTTTAAAGGAGGAATGTTTCTTTGTTGGTCTGATAAGATTACTATTATTGATATTAGTAGCTTGGATTTTTGCATAGAAGTGAAATTTTCTTGGGAAGGTTCTGATGTGTTATTTTATGCTGTTTTTGTGTATGCTAGTACCAACAGTGAGGTTAGGAGGTCTCAATGGGAGGTTTTAGTGAGGCATAGTTTAACCTGGGGGGATAATTGGTTTGTGGGTGGAGATTTTAATGATATCTTGGATAACTCTGAAAAAGTGGGGGGAGTAAACAGAGAAGAGGGTAGTTTTCAGGATTTTAGGAATTTCGTGATTGCCTTAGGTGTTGTTGAAACCAAATGTGTAGGACACCCCTACACTTGGTCCAACAACAAGAAAGGAAAACAATTCATTTAAGATAAAATTGGATAGGTTTCTGTTTTCCCCTGCTTGGCTGTTTAATTTTCCTAATTCCCAGATTAATCATGTGCATGTGAGTTCATCTGATCACTCTTTGTTGCTTCTTGAAACTGAACATATTGTTGATAAATCTTTCAAAAGGCTTATTTTTTATTCCAGATGGGTTAATTTGCATGGCTTTCAAGAAGTTGTTGAGAATGCTTGGAATTTGAATGTGAATGGGCCTGCTTTGTTTAATTTGAAGTATAGACTTAGAAATGTTAGACAAGCTTTAGTGACTTGGAAAAAGGATAATGTCTCTAATGCCAGTGTTGATATAGTTGTGTGTAAGGGGAAGTTAGAAAATTTGAGAACTTTGGGGGGTACTAGAGATTGGGGAGAGTGGATTAAATGTAAAATAGAACTTCAGCTAGCTTATGAGGGTGAGGAGCAATACTGGAAGCAGAAAGCTAAAGTTCTTTGGCTTGAGGAGAGGGACTGTAACTCTAAATTTTTTCATGCTAGTGTTAATCAAAGGAGGAAGTTGAATAGCTTAGATAATATTGTGAAATCTGATGGCTCTAGATGCTTGAATTCAACTGAAACTTTAAAGGAAATCTTAGAGCATTTTGATAGATTATTTACTTCCTCTAATCCTCTTGATCAGAAGTGTAATTTGGATGGCATTCCTGCTTTCATTACTAGTAGCATGAATAGGAACTTAGTGAGGCAAGTAGGTGAAGAAGAGATTGAAAATGCTTTATTTGATATGGCTCAAGACAAATCCCCAGGGGAGGATGGGTTCACAGCTTGTTTCTTTCAAAAAACCTGGCCCATTATCAAATTTCATGTGTGTTTAGCTGTGCAAAATTTCTTTAATTATGGCAGAATGCCTAAAGGTGTGAATCATACTGTTATAACTCTGATCCCTAAAAAGAAAAATCTTGTTAGAGTTATTGATTTCAGACCTATTAGTTTGTGTTTTGTGGTGTACAAATTAATTGCTAAAATCTTGGCCAATAGATTAAAATGTGTGCTGCCTGGGTGTATTTCTAGTTCTCAATCAGCTTTTGTTCCCGGTAGACAGATTTTAGACAATGTGGTCCTACCTAATGAATGTGTGCATTATCTGAATAGTAAGAGGAAAGGCAAAAAAAAATTCATGGCTATAAAATTGGACATGGCTAAGGCCTATGATAGAGTTGAATGGGCTTTTCTTGCCAAACTTTGTAGAAAAATGGGTTTCTGTGAGAAATTTGTGTCTTGGATCTTGGTCTGTGTGTGTACAGGTACTTATTCTTTCAATATTCATGGGTCTGTTCTTGGTTTTCTACAACCAACTAGAGGTCTCAGACAAGGGGACCCACTGTCCCCTTATCTCTTCATTTTAGTCTCTGAAGCCTTGTCCAACTTGGTCAATCAGGCCTGTTCTTCTGGTTTGTTTCAAGGAATTAGAATAGGTAAGTATGCCCCTATAGTCAGTCACCTTTTTTTTGCTGATGATTCCATATTTTTTTGTAAAGCTGATTTGCACCATGCCATTCTCATTAATACAATCTTTGCTGCATATGGGCATGATTCTGGGCAAGTGGTTAATTTTGAAAAATCATCTATTCTATTCTCCAAGAACACTTCTGAAGTGACTCAACAACAAATCTGTAGTTCTCTGTCTGGAATTCAAAGAGTTACATCCTCTAAATATCTGGGACTGCCTTTAGGTATAGGGAGATCTAAGAGAGACACATTTATGTTTGTGAGTGAGAGTGTGAAAAATAAAATAATGAGTTGGAAAAATAAATTTTTGAGTGAGGCAGGAAAAGAAATTCTTATAAAATTCGTGTTGAGTGCTCTTCCCACATATGTGATGCTTGTTTTAAAATTCCTACTTCTATAATTTCACAAATTTGCAGGGATATAGCAAACTTTTGGTGGGGCAAAAATGAAGGAGGTGGGAATAGGGTTCATTGGGGAGAGTGGAGAAAAATGTGTAAAACAAAAGAAGAGGGGGAATTGGGTTTTAGAGACTTGAGAGCTTTCAATGATGCTCTGCTAGTAAAGCAACTGTGGAGACTTATCACTTCTCCAAATCTGTTGGTTAGTAAAGTGTTAAAAGGGAAGTATTTCAGAAATTGTAATTTGATGACAGTGAGAGCTAAAAATGGTGATTCTTGGCTTTGGAAGAGTTGGCTAAGTGTTAGGGCTATGTTAGGCTTAGGGGCTAGGTTTGAGGTTGGGGATGGGTGCTCTATAGATGTTTGGGACTCTCCTTGGATCCCAAATAATTCCACTTTTAAACCAAGATGCTGTTTTTGGGGAGATAGAGGGAGAGTGAAAAAAGTGAGTGAATTAATCAAGCATGATACTGGAGAGTGGGATAGGGAGTTAATATTGCAGACTTTTGATCCTATTGATGCTGAGCTTATACTAAATATCCCTCTTCCCTCTCAAAGTAGAAAAGATAGATTGATTTGGCACTGGGACAAAAAAGGATCCTTCTCTGCAAAAGCTGTTTATTAAACTATTGTGGAGAGGAAAGCTACTCTTTCAGGCCATGCTTCTACTAGTCAGACAAGCAGTTGGTGGAGGAAAATATGGACAGCCACATGGCATTTGCCTATTAAACACAAGGTTAAACATTTTTTATGGAGGTGCTGGTTTGGTTATGTTGGGGTTAAGGTGAACTTGGCAAATAGAGGTATGGGAGTAGATATAGTCTGTCAGGTGTGTGGTGCAGATATGGAGGACTTGAATCATCTTTTGTTTACTTGTTCCAAAGCTAAAATATGCTGGAAGTTGAGTGGAGTGGATTGGAACCTAATGCAAAATCACAATATGACCTTTCAGTGGTGGTGGATGCAAACCTGTTCACTAGGGATGGATGAGATATTAATTGACAGGTTGTGTTTATCATCATTCCTAATGTGGCATTTGTGGAAAGCTAGGAATAAATGGGTCTTTAAGGGGGATTGGTTTAATGAGAAGGAAATTGTTGAGAGTGCTAGGTTAGAATGGTTGGAATGGAGCTCAAGGAAGATGTTAACTAACACAGGGGACAGATTGCATAGCATTGGTAGAGGGACTATTTCAGATAAAGTCAATGACAGAGTAGGTAAGCCATGGGTGGCAATCAGTGCTCATTTATCTGAAGATGGTCTGGTACAGATGGAATGCATAGCTGTGAAGGAAAGAAACACAAGGTTACAATGAAAAGAAAATTCCACAAGAGCTGTCACAGAGATGGAAGCTGCTCTATTAGCAACTCACTGGGGGTTGTCCAAGATCAAAGAGCTGCAATGGGATTCTTGTATTTTCTACATCGACAATGCATCTGTTGTGAAGACACTGAAGAGAAAATGCTTCCCAGATTACCCTTGTGGTACCTCACTTTCTGTTCTAGATCAGGTGCTTTTGTTAGCAAATGATTGTAAAGTAACTTTATTTAGTATTTTGCAGTAGTTTAGTTTTTGGGAGACCATGTTGGTCTGTGAGGGGTTGAACTAGTTTCTTCCTCGTGATGCTTTAGTTCTCGTTTGAGAGTGCTTGTGTGTCTATAATCAGTTGATTGTCGGTGTATTTGTACTCTTTCTTTTGAGATATAAATTTCTTTGTTTGCCTTGGAAAAAAAAAAAAAAACTCTATTATTTTTTAGGCCTGAACGGACAAGTCCTATGGTCCACTCATTTAATATCTCCCGTGAATCGCACGAGCTACTTATGAAAATAACTCATTTAATACTTATGTCTCGTGCATCGCACGGGCTACGTATTAGTAAATTTTTATTGTGAATGCAATGAACTCAAAACATAAGATCATAAATATATGAACTTTCATAATTTTTTGGTAAGCAGATTGAATATAATTTTTCCTTTTCAAAAACTTTTGTTGATAAAAAAGTGTAAAAAAGAATTACTATTAAAAAAGTTTAAATATAAAGTTGTGAATGAAAATATAAGATAAACAAATTAACATGATATAAATAATAATGATAGTTAGAAATATGTTAACTGATTAATTTTTGGGAAATGTTATATGTACATTATATTGTACATAAGGGTGTACATAACACTTACATTTAGTGGGATCCACCAAAAATAAAAAGAAAAATGCTATAAGTACATAAAAAATATATATAGAGGTGTACATAACACTCACATGGAGTGGGGTCCACTTGATTTTATATTTTTTGGTAGGACTCACTTAATGTTAGTGTTATGTACACTTCTATGTAAAGTATTATGTATCTATAGCATTTCTCAAATAAAAAATTAAGTGGACCCACTCCATGTGTTATGTACACCCCTATATATATTTATATGTACATATACCATTTTTCTTAATTTTTTGCTTAAAATATTTTCAGTAAAATTGTGGAGAATAAAGTGATATGCACAGTATTTATATAAAAATATTTTATTTTATTTAATAATTAATAAAAGAAATCTTAATCTATACTTATATTAAAGGGAGTCCTATTTACCAAATTTAGTAACTAGAAAAGTCAACAGCATTTATTGTCATTACTATTTCCGTATTATACAGTTTTATTTAATATTTGTTTTCCTGTTACGATTTTTAAAAACAGATGGTCAAATTCTCTCATCATTAATTACTTTTCATTAATTACAATTTATTTATTTATTATTTTCCTAACAAAAACGGACCAACATTAATTGATTTCCTTAAAATGTGGAAGTTGTTGCTTTATTTTTGTACAGAAAATCGGGCTTCATTATAGAAATTTGTTCAATTACACAATGAATTTTCTATGATATAATTATTTTTTATGGGAATTTTTTTTTTTAACAGAAAAATATGGCATTTCAATAAAATTTTTGATTTTTTAAGACTGATCGTTATCATGCTATGAAATTGAACATTCTAATATACCTTAACAAAATATACACGTGGTGTATACATCAGTTAATAAAAATATAGAATCCTCATATTTTTATATATATGTATGTAATTTTTCTATTACCAAATTTAATTGATAGTTGTTGTGTTATGTGTTTTTTCATAATTGGTACTTGGTTGTTGTGATATTTAGTTTGGTTGGTGTCGCAAAAATTCTAATCTATATATATAATAAGAATAATCATTACAATGCAAATTAGAAAAATATTGATATTAGAAGAAATTGAGTTCATGGCTTTTCTTAAATCAAAGTTGTTTAATTAGTATACAAAATTAAATTCTAAAAAAATATGTGTATATTTTGTACATTATTTATACACTATTTAATTTTAAATTGATTACTTATATAAATAATACCAACGTGCATTAAATATATTTCATTACATAAAATAAAAAGAATAAGAAGACGTGCAACTTGTATAACTTTATAAATAATAATGACATTATATGGCAACAGAGTTTAATAATTAACTATTATATAGTGAATAAGAATAAGTAAAATTGTTATTTTGTCTTATATCAAGGAATAAATATATATAATAAAATTAAATTTATATTAGTATAAATTAATGTGTTAGTGAGATAATATATTAATTATTTTACAAGTTAGCCCTAACATGCTCTGACTAATAAAACAACACTGATTAAAAGATGTGAAAAATATATTACAACCTTATGTTTTTAGACTTAACGGTGATTAAAAGAGGTGGAAAATAGATGATAACTTTTTCAGACTTAAACGAGACTTAACAGTGATTAAAATAGGTAGAAAATGGATAATAACCTACTTAAACGGACAGAGTCTGTGAAAATAATTCATTTAATATCTCTCTCCAGTACACGGTACATACTAGTTCAAAGAATAAATAAAAAGTGTTGTATCCAATCGCGCACCCTGCACGTGCAAAGAGCATCTTTGTCAACAAGACGATTTCGAGCTCCTAGCGACCCGAAATACAAACCACAAAATAGTATAGATCCATATGATGGCGGCAAAGGCGGTGCTTGTTCGGCCCAACGTGACCGCGGCGGCTCTGTGCTTGGTGCGCGGCCGTCCCCAGACCACATCCCCTTCATTTTTCCATCGAAGCGCGACGGCGACGCGGGCGAGGCACGATGTTTGGAGTGGTCGGTCGCTGTTTACGGCGAAGTTTCATCTTCCCCGCTCAGTCCACCGGCGGAATTTGAGCGTCCGAGCGACGACGGACTCCGAAAACCCCTCTGCCTCCTTCGAATCTCCGCTGATGCAATCAATGGAGAATAAGGTTTCAGTGTGTTTTACTTACTTAATTCTTACTCGCCTTCAGTTCTCCATTAATTTTTATAGGGACTAGGGTTTCTCCTTCGAGAATCAGATAACTGGGGATTTGATTTGTTCATAAATCGAGTGGTGTAGAGGTATAAATAATTTAACTAGATTGCCTTAAGATTAGTGTTTTCTTATACAGAGGAGTGATGATATGCATTCTAGTTATAGGTCTATCTTTGATGGCGTCAACAACACTATTTTCTTCATATGGTCTTAAATTTTGGGTCATTTCTGTTAATTATTCTTCTATATAGCTTGTTTACAAAGTGTTTACATTTGGGTTCATATGGAGTATAGCACCTCTCTTTTTTGGTAAATAAACAAATCAACTGGATAGAGACAATAATAGAGATAAATTATTCAAAACGTTTGATTAAAAGTTTCTGTATGCATTATATGGTAAAATCTGATGCCACAATATGCATTAGGTCGAAGATTTCAAGCATTACTATCATAAATTCATAATATAACGACAGCCGTGAGCCAGGGCCAAATGATGGCTTACATGGTCAATGTGGGAGACCAGCAACATATGGATAACTAAAACATTCACTTCCTTTTCTTTCATTATCAGATAGTGAAGAAGCTGAGATATTGTTACAGAATGGTCATGAAAATTCTCAAGCTAAAGTGATTTGTGAGATGGGGTTTGTTTTTCAAACTTCTGTTGCTTTAAACTTATGTGCTGTAGAGTGTACTTGGCATAGACGAGGTTGCGGTGAAGACTTTATTTTTGTCCATTTACGTATACATTAATACTCGCACACCCTATGTTCTGATTCATATGAAAATTTTAGTTTGGCATGAGGAAATTTCAGTAACATGGAATGGAGATGGAAGCAGTTTTAAACCAGGAACTTATTAAATGTGCCATTAAGCATCAATGACTCACTTCTATATTGGATGAAATTAAAATCGGTATTATAACTCAGTAACTATCTGAAACCCACTTTTGGATTGTTAGCCTGCTTTGACAGGGGGCGTTCAAGAATGTACCCTTCTGGGAGAAAGAAAAATCACTCGACCTATGGACTAATTGAATAACAATGGCGAATATTCTGAGTTGTCTCTTTAACTTTGTAAAAAATGAATTCTATGATGCACAGAAACTCAGAAAGTCTCATTATTGATAAAGATGTATTATTGAGAGTAAAATGCTTTATTAATCATTGTGAACCTTTGTTGTCCTAATACTAAGGATGGTTTTGCCTCATGCACTTGAAGTTATTTGCTTTTCTTTCTTTTTATTTTTTCCTTTTTAACCTTTTTTCCTTCTACTCTGGCTTGATAACCTAAATGCTTTAAAATCTGTGGCATTAGATCAAGGAACACTTAAATGCAGAGTCAGTTATTGTGAAGGATGCATATGGTGATGGCCGCCATGTTAGGTCAGGCTCCTTATTCCAGTACATATTAAACTCCAATATTGGAATTCTTTAAGTTGCAGTTTATATACTATTGTTTTTGAAAGCCTTCATCGTCTTACCTAAATCTATGTTTTGGTTTTATTCAATATATATGCAGCATAGAGGTTGTTTCTTCAGCTTTTGAGGGCCAATCTGCTGTGAATCGGCAAAGGATGGTTTACAAGGCAATATGGGAAGAACTTCAGGACAGAGTGCATGCTGTTGACCAGATGACGACACGGACTCCAGCCGAAGTAGGGCAGTGATATATGAGAAAAGTTATCAAGTGTATCCATCAAGACTTCGACCTATTCAGCATTTGCGTTTCATTCACTTACTTGTCATACAACAATTGTGTGGTGCAGTTTAGTTTTGCTGCTGGTTGTGAAAGGCCGGAAAGAATATTTTAATTTAAAATTCATGATGAAATTATTTGCAATGTTGCCTGCCTGCCCAGTGACTTACTCTCTCATTACTGATAGCCTTCGATGCACTGTAGCACTAAAGGCTGTATGACACTGCATTTTTGGTGGAAAGGTTGAACCTCTGATGCCCAAAGTCGAGTTGGGGAGATGTCTTAAAATGAACATGTTATGTTACAAAATGAATTTTAGGACTACTTCACTGCCCTAAAAAGAGAAGATATTTGTAGATGAATTGTAAGAGCTATAGTTTAAAATTACTACTACTGCTCGTCTGCTACCACTACTACTATTAATGGTGTTATGCAATTAGAATTTTACTTTAGAACTCACACAAATATTTAATTTCACACGAAATTATATAATCTAAGTTTGTAAAATCAGACATTTAATTCAATTCATAAGCACTATGCGCATCTGAACCATACTCAATTCACAAACTGCGGTACTAGTTATCTAGTTTTTGTACATTCATGACAATCCAAGTGAGATTCAGAAAAACAATTCAACAAAATTACATTTAATTACAATTAATGCTTACACAGTTTGTATACCCTTATCCTATATGAATCTCATTGTCAGTTTTTTAATAATCTACAACTAGTATATAACCGTGCGATGCACGGGCTGTCTTTATTTTGGAGAATATTATAAATTGTAGTGTATTAATACACAAAATAGTGATACTTCGTAAGGAAGTTGTCAAATATTAAAATGTTGCTCATGAAAAAAATAATATATTATTAAAAACCTTATTGTACACAATATTATTAGTTTGATAATTGGACAACTCGTCGGCCCTACAAACTAATATTTTCAACAATTTTCTATTCCTTACACGCAAAACAACATTATAATTGGTCGTGACTAAAAACAGATTAACATGCCAACTCACGATAAAGGTTGACCACGACTCTTCTTTATCTATTACTTACACGCGAAACAACAACATATAATTGATCGTGATTAAAAATTGATTTCTTTAAGAACATGCCAATCAAGGGTCAAAGGGTCCGATTCTAGTTCACTCGTGACTGAGTCCGATGACTCTTCAAGGAACATAAATCGGTCAGGCTGTCTCACCACCCTCACACTGCAACGAGGCACTATCTGCATAAGTATACGCTTAGTGTGCCTTGTTGCAGTATTATGTGGTGTATCTACTTGCGCACTCGGTAGGGGACTAGTGACTTCACTCCTCAACTCCTCTAAGAAATTCTACTAGTGGGCTTGTGGTTCATAATATAGTCTTCTTCCAAGAATCTAGCGTTCGTGCTAACGATCACCTTTTGATCCTCAGAACTATAAAATAATCCACCTTTCATTTTCTTGGGATAGCCAACAAACAACCGCACTTCCGAATGCTTTTTTAATTTGCCAGCCTCCTGCACTAGAACATGTGCAGGGCTACCCTATATTCGAATATGTGAGAAACTGAGCTTGCGCCCTTTCCACAACCTATATGGAGTAGTCTCCACTAACTTCCATGGAACTATGTTCGGAATATACAATGATTTATCTAACGCCATTCCCCAAAATGAACGGTAACTTTGAATAATTTATCATCGACCTAACCATTTCCATAAGAGTCATATTCCTTCACTCTACAACCCCGTTATGTTGGGGTGTGTCGGGCACTGTTTTGAGACCTGGACCAGCCCGGCGGGTCGACCCGGGACCCGGTTGACCCGGAGCCGGAACCGGTCCGGGTGGAGTATTTGGACCGGGCAACCAAGGACCCGGTCAAACCCGGTCAAAACCCGGCCGACCCGGCCGTCCCGGGGCATTGACCCGGCCGCATCAACCCGGTTTACCCGATCCATATATATTTTTTTTATTTTTTTTTATTTTTTTTGTTTTTTAAAAATAAAAATATGTATATATGTTTATATGGTAAATATTTATTATGAGATACATATTATTAACACTTTAATATACAAATTTTATACACAAAACATTTAATTTTGTTACTTTTATGTATATTTATATAACAGAAATACTCTATATATAATTTTAAAAATTTTAAAATTAATTATCCGGTTCAGCAATTGACCCAGTGACTCGACGGTTGAACCGGTGACCCGAAGACCTGCCCGGGTCGATCACCGGGCCGGGTTTAAAAACTATGGTGTCGGGTGCAAATTAATTGGGATTCTATCCCACCTTCTGACAGATATGTCCTAAACTCTCTTAAGAGGTATTCGCCACCTCGATCCTATCTAAGTGACTTGACACTCTTTCCATGAAGCTTCTCCACAACTGTCTGATACTCCTTGAATTTCTCAAAGCATTCGGACTTGCGGTGCATCAGGTAGACGTAGCCAAATCTCGAGTAATCATCAATGAAAGTGACAAAGTACTCGAAACCTCTTCTAGCCTTGATTAGAATGAAATAATCTTAGCACACTCTCTCACCTATACTCCTTTCCCGTGAATGACCTCTTGGCCATCTCACCTTCCAACTACGATTCGCAAGTTGGTATAGTCATCTCTCTCCACGTGGACGTACTCTACTTCGCAAGTTGGTATAGTCATCTCTCACCACGTGGACGTACTCTACTTCTTTTATATGTTGATGTTATGTTGATTACGAGAGATGATGTTGACCATATCTCTCATGTCAAAAAAGCAACTCCGTTAGCAATTTTAAATGTTTGATTTGAGTCCTCTTAGCTACTTATTGGGCATTGAGGTGATGCACTCTGGCTCAGGCTATTACCTTTCTTAGTCCAAATACATACAAGATCTTCTTGTTTGTTCTAGTATTACTGATAGTCGGACAACGGCTACATCTATGGATCTTCACTTGTAGCTTCGTCCTATTGATGGTATGCCTCTTGAGGACCCCTCTCGATATCGCCATCCCAATAGTTTATCACTGTTACCAGGCCTGACATTGCTCATGTTGTTCATATATTGAGTCACTTTGTGAGTTTACCTACTTCAGTTCATTTTGGACATTTGCTTCGTGTGTTACGATATTTAAATAGCACATCGTCTCAGTGATTGTTTTATGCTCGTGATAGTTCGCTTCAGTTTCATGCTTACTCGGACTCTACTTGAGCGAGTAATCTAACAAATTTTCGTTCTCTGACTGGTTATTGCATTTTTCTTGGTTCTTCTCCTCTTACAAGGAAGTCGTTCACATACGTACTAGCAAACATGTTCACCGCCTGAAACGTGGAATAAACAAGGACGCAGCCTCCACCTGACCTCAGGAGTTGAATAGTGAACGAGCTGATCAATTCGGCACGAAGTAAACCCATCCCTATAAAGTGCTTGGTTCCCAGCCTCATAAACCATCTTGAATTCTTCGTGCACCGATCTCTACCAATGCATTAATGGCTGTCAGGACGCATGTCCATCGTACTGTCGAAATATGATCACTAGGAATGGGCTCTCCCCTGCAATGTTGCACGTCGCCATCAAATCGCATTTAATGTTACTGTACTGACCTCATAAATAGTGCCTGAGGGTTTAGCACTATAAATGCCCCCTCATTTATTGTAATATGGGACAATTTTCTCTCTCACTATAAATAGACTTACGTGATATATAATACGAGCTTGTTTGCCTTATTCACTGGTCATCCGACGTCTTTTACTGTATTTACTATTATTTTTATTTAGGGATAAGTTCTCCATTGGTTGACTCATATTTCATAGGTCAACAGATTGGCGCTAGAAGCAGGTCAATTGTATCGCGCTCTAGTACAAAGGCATAACTTCGAGCACTTGTCACTACCACTTCAGAAATTATATGGCTTTGATGGTTGTTAGTTGATTTTGGTACTTCATGTGATGTTATTACACCTCTTTCTAATAATACTAGAGATATACAAATAGCTAATGATCCTATGAAACATGAGCTTACAAAACACATTGGTGTCGATGTTTTCTTTACTCGGACTCATTGCCATCAGAAAACAATTGTTCATCAGTATGTGTCCTCAAAACTACAAGTGGCAGTTTTTGTCACCAAAGTACAAACTAGAGAACAACATCGGCTTCACTTGCACAAACTCAATGTTTCGAATCCTCCACCTCCACCTTGAGTTTGAAGGGGGTGTTAAGTATATTATAGACTCAACCCATATATACTAAAAGCCATAAGTTTATATATATGGGCATGATCATTAGTGAAAGAATCAACTATCCAAAACGCAATGGTATGGCTTTGTATAATACACATTATCATTTCTTAGTTTTATATGTGGAATAAAGGTCTCAATTGCTAATTAAGTTTTACATTCAAATATTAAATAAATCAAATTATGAATTTGTCTTATGATATTTTTTACATTCAAATATATATATATATATTAAAAGAGATTGATGAAAAAATCATTTGTGAAAAATTAAAAAAAATGGGTCAAACCTTTTGACTTACCACTTATGAAAAACCAATTCAAAAAATAAAAAAAAAAATATGTTCGTTGTTCACTTTAGTCGTTTTTTATTTTTATGGTTGATATGGAATCAACAACATTCCATATTTTACGTAGGCAAAAATATGTTCCATTTTGAGTGTGGTTTATAATATATCAATTTTAATAAACATGTTGTAAAGTATCAGTGATCCAAAATTATATCATAATAAATAAATATGCAAAAAAAATCAGGAATATTTCCTTTTTTTTTAATATTATACTAAAATCGAATTTTAATAATTTGTGATATTAAAAATTTGTGGCTACAAATAATATTTCTTATTGATGTAAATTAAATATGCCGTTTTTTGATTGATTTTAAACCAATATTAAGTGAACGTGTGAATCAATGTCCGTGATACAAAATCTTTTGACCAAAACTCATTTTTAGAAATCTAAAGCCATGGATATCAATAAATAAATCATGAAGACGAACATTGCTTTCAAATCTATCCAGTTTTTTATTTAGAATTCTTTAGTATACATCCATATTAAAATTTAAAAATTTTAACCATACGTTTAATGGATATTAAAAATTTAAACCAAACATTTGATGTAAAAAATTAATATAATAATTTTATACCAAAATTAATTTAAAAAACAAGTGATATTAAAAATTTGCTGCCACAAAAAATATTTTCATAGCATAATGATCATTATGTAAATAAAATATGATACTTATAAAACTTGTGAAGTAACCATAATCAAAATCCTCTGATACAAAATCTTTTGATTAAAACTCATTTTTAAGAATTCTAAAGTCGTAAGGTATCAATAAATAACTAGCGATGATAAACATTGTTTGGGATACATTCATATTAAAATTTGAACATTTCAACCATACGATTAATGGAATGGATGAGTATAATTATGAAATTTGAACCAAACATTGGGGATAGAAAATTAAATTGCAATACCATATGGATCTCAAAACTTGCGTGATTAGTAAATAATAGCAATAACCTAAAGAAACCAAATTGTGACATTCATTTGAAAAACTTTCATGATTTGTACCTAATTTATAGGATACATCATGTAAAAAATGAATATAACAAATCAATTTTAAAAAATGTGTTGGAGTGTTAATCATCAAATGTTTAATAATTTATTTTCTATTTTACAACACACACCGACTCATTGATAAAATATTATCTATAAAAAGGGTCCATAACTCAATTATTTAACACACTTCTTCCACAAAATATTAAGTCGATACTTATTGCAATCTTTTCAAAAAATCAAATGCTTAATGTGTGGGGTCCTCTTTAGTCAGTCTGTCGAACCGATATACCATATTTGAAATTAAGGGTTGTTCGCATATTTGAACACAAATTTGATGTCAGATACAAGAACATATTGAAAATTATTTTTCATGATGAAGAGGTAATTTTTGTCCTACTGTTTATCATATCTTTAGATATACCCACTTCATTTAAAGGCTATATTATATTTTATTAACGTGTATTTAATTTTCCTTGATCATGTAGGTGGACGTATAACAGGGATGATTCGTTCACTCGACCAAGTGTATGTTGTTCGCAACTATCAAGTTGATCCAAACAGTAGGTTGTATCGGTCAACAATTCACAAGTTTAAGTTTGTCATACATGGATGACCGATCTGTTAAAGTTTAAGCCCTCTAATAATCCGATTACACAAATCGTTGAAACACGTATCAAATGTTTAAGCAGACAACCGATGATCCCAATTATTTGAAGGACAACGCTATGTTGGCAACGACACTGGAAGACTCAATGAGCACATGAAACCTTTAAACTTATCTGATGGTCATACATACTTAAGTTTCGATATAGAACTTGCAAGTCAGACTCTAATAAGGATTTTCTATCTGATCTCCACACGCCCGAGTTTTTGAATAGTATAAAATATTTCAAAATTCCAAATCATCAGTTGCATTTAAAGTTTGAAACTCTTGTCATATTGTTGCGGAACATGGATAATTCTATAGGTCTATGTAATGAGATACAATTGGTAGTGACAAAACTCCTCACTCATGTTCTCGAGTGTAATATACTCACTGAGAATCACACAACTGAGAAGGTGTTGATTCCTAAAATGACTATAACTCCTTCCGATGTTAGAATTTCTTTCACGTTCCAGCGCCGACAGTTTCCCATAATAATTTCATACGTCGTGACTGTAAACAATAGGTAGAGCAATTATTATTGCATGTTGGTTTATTTTCTTAAGAAGTCAGTTTCAGTCATGGGCAGTTATACGTTAATGTCTCATGTGTCACAGCCGAAGTGGTTTTAAAATAATAGTCTGTAGTGATATGATTCGCCAACAAATCTAACGAAAAATGTTGTTTAAAAGGAAGTGTTCGATAATTTTTTTTTTTTTTTCACTTTTTGCGACCCGTTTACTTTTGTTACATATATAACAAGTCTATTAATTTTAATACTAAATATTTCAAATATTCTATTAAAATATATCATCATATGCATCGCACGGGTCGCGACTAGCTCGAAAGGAAAAGCGCTATGAAAGTTTGGGTCCAATTGTAAACCAAGTGTGTGGAGCATATTATATCGTCATGATTATTTTGTAAATTTACCGTCCTTTTACATATTAACTGTATTTTTTAAGAACTTTTATAAATATATGATCATTTAAGATAAAAATATAAATATATCATTTATAAACTAATCATAAACTAAAAATTAATGACAAAAACAAACCACAAATAATCATTCATAAACTATAAAAAATAATATTATTAATTAAATAAACTTTCTAAATGCATAAATAAAAAACAATTTGCAAGCGAGTTGAGTAATTTTCTCTAAGTTTATTAGGATTGTTTACAAGTGTACTATACTTTTTATTTCTTTACAATGTATGATTATTCAAAATAAAACTATATATAAATTATTTATAAACGAGTTATTAACCAAACAATCATGCAAATTAAAAATTACTGACAGCATAAACTATAAATCGTCCATTCATGAATCATAAAAAATTAATATATTAAATAAAAAAAAAAAAAAAGAAGAAGAAGAAGAATTGTTGGTGGAATTCTCAATATTTATTAGACCTAGCAATTGTGTTATATAATTGGGCTGTGGAACTCGAATAACCCATATAATAAATATCCTTAAATATCAAATTGGACTCTGGATTGGGCCATCAGTTTATTCAGCATAACTAAGACCTCCTCTGTCAAATTCTTGTTCGTTGCTTTCATCTTCAGTTGGCTCTGCTCCGTGAGACTGCGACTGTCGTCTCAGGTATTCATACAATACTACCACTATTTTTTGCTTTTTCCTTTAAACTTTGTTTTTGGGAAAAATCAATTATCCCCACAAATTTATGTGCGACTCCTTTTTTTTTTCTAGGTGTATATATTTTTCGATCATGCGTAGTAAAATGTAATCTTTGATGAATAACGATGAAGTACCTTATGTCGGAAGTTTTTATGTATGAGATGGCGATTTGAGCTCAATCTTGTCTTGTACGAATGTAAGTGTGTGTACCTACGTGAATTGACATTTTGGTGCAACAGTTTAGCATAATTCCCAACCCTAATAAGGCTTTAATTTGGGCCGTGCGCATGGACACAGAGTCAAAAGAAAGAAAAATTAAGTAGAGCAATGCAGCTGATAACAGTGTGAAATGAGAAAATTTAGCACTTGGAACTATCTTGAAATCCACGGGATTGTTGATTTGGTTTGGTTTGGTCTGGTTTGGTTTGCGTGTTACTAATTTATTTTACGTTTATCATGCACAGGCAGAATTTAGGGTTTTAATAGCTTGAAACACAACAGTATCTTCCTGGGAATACGTAATTGCTACAATGTTTTCCCATTTCCTTTTAATATTTGACTTTGGGTATGGCGTGTAGCATCTCCCGATTATGTATATAGAGGCGTTCTTGCTATATTAATTATTTGAGTGGAGCTGCACATCTTGTGGCAGCTTAGATATATTAATGATTTGAGTGGAGCTGCACATCTTATGCCAGCTTAGATTTGCAGTTTGCACTCGTATTGTAGCGTATCTTACTCTTGCCGTCATTCAACCTGAGATATTTATTATGTGAGGAATTGTTATTTATTCTGTGGAGAATTGTGTGCTTAGGTGCGACTAAACAAGTTTCTATCCAATTAATTTTCTTACAGAACTTATGTTTTACCAATGCGTCGAATCCAGTAATCTTCTATGCCCTCTATCCGTGTATTCATCATCCTCTGACAATTAATATGTTTGAGAAAAATATTCAGATTTTAGCTGAAAACATTTATTTTTTTATCTCTAGTTTCTTTTTCTCTTGAGGCTAGTACAATTTATTTAAAAACCAAATAGAAACTCCGTATTTTTTGCGGATTAAACTTTCCGACCATGGCCTTCGTGTTTCTACTCCAGCAGGCCAGCCGGAACCTTAAACACTCAAAACTCATCTGGCATGTCCTAGAAAAAAATAGAGTACCAAAACAAGAATGTCTGGAAATCGGGCTTTTGCAGAAGAAGATGCCTCTTCCGGAGGATCGGGAGACGAGACTAACATGTTAGACGGACACAACAAACACCAGACCATGACCCCTCAACCTGGTCGACTCAAAAGGAGCCGCAAAGCAACTGGCGATGCCATTGTCGATGCCATGCAGGAAATAGCGGCAGCTTCTAAAGCTCGGGCTGCCGCAATCATGAGGAATGAAGACCGTTTTGCCATTAGCAAGTGCATAAAATTACTCGATGAGATGCAAGGTGTCGATCAGGCTCTCTACTTTTACACCCTGGATTTGTTCGAGAGCCCCACGGCTAGAGAAATATTTGTGTCCCTAAAGAGCGAGAGAAGATTGGCGTGGATACAGAGGAAGTTTCGGGCCTCTTCTGGTGGCCCAGTGGGCTGAGGGGAACATTTTGCAGTTGGGCCCTTTTGTTTTGATAGAAAGTTGTGAATTCGACTCTAGTCAGTTCTTTTTTAGGACTCATGGCCCGCTTTACTTAGATTGAATATTTAAGCTGCTTGCCGGGGTTTTACATCTTCTCAAAGTGCTATGAGATTGTTTTGTAGATTTACAGTGTTGACTGTTAAGTACTGATGATGTTCAGGTTAATGATATAGCGGCAAATGATGTATTGCCATGTTTTCAGTATCTACTTCTGCAACTATGTAAAAAGTTATTACAGTGTTGGTAAGGGGTAGGCCCCGTCTGATTGGCTACTCCTTGGATTTGGTACTCCTCACAAAATGGCCCCAATGGTTACAGATCAACATCTTCTTCTTGATGCCCTACCACTAGTGGGAAAAGTGTGGAATTCTGGAATGGATGAAGTAAAAAATTATGTTAGCAACAATTGGTTTCTGAAGTGTTGTTGTTAGCAATAATTGGGTTCTGAAATGAATGAAATCAATACTAACATTTGAGGATTGTCTTATGCCAACTTTGGCCATCTTAATCTTTCTACTTTTAACAGCTGCAACTCTTTTTCTTTCAAGCTATATTCAGAAAATGGAGCAATTACAATCACATAAACTTAAATCACATAATCTTAGAATCACAAGAAAATAACTAATAAAATTTCATAAAAAAATAACTTACAATTGTATCAAAAGCCTTGTTCAATGAGGTGTTGTCCACTTCCCGAGTTACTTGGCTTTGAGTGTTAATTTCTTACTCTTTTCTTTTGTCACAAGATCTTACATTATATCCAGCCATACCACATCTTTTGAATCTCACAATAGGTTTCTGCTTCTTCAATTTCATTGTTGCTTTCCTTTCCTCTTTTTTTCCCTTCTTTTGAGGCTCTTCTGGATCTATTCTTCCTGCCTTTGAAGGCCTGCCAACACTCCTCTCAAAGTTGGCAGGCCTTGGGGAACAAAAAGTGTATGTCTCCACAGTGAGAGACCATTTATGCCTAAGATTGATCCCCTATACACATTCCTATAACAGTCTGTAGATTAACAACCTTTTACAAAATCATTAGGCACCAACTTATGAGCTTGTATGGCACTGCAAGCATGCTTACAAGGGATGCTCCCTAAGGGTGATCTTCAATTTATAGTCTTTACCTGCACATCTCACACACACCCATATGTTATCATTCTTTTATGTCTTAAGGATTATGTTAGTTTTAATTGCATGTGATTGGATGACTTTTCTAAATTCTTCTTTAGATGTAAACACTATTCTAATATAAAATACAGGATCTCACACTTGGGCAGAATTTAACACAGGTCCACATTCTGTAGATCAACAGGGAACTTCAACTATATCTTCAAACTACCTTCAATCGGCCTTCATTTCATTGAAATGTCTCTTAAGAAAAAAGATTTTGTGTTTTCAAATATACTCTCTGAAAAAATTCTACGCCTATGAAAATTGGTGTTTTAATTCCAAGGAATCATTTTACCTCCAATCACTTAGATTACGTATTTTTTTATTTATTTTGAATTTTTTTTTTCATTATTTTTCTTGCCACGTCGCCAGTTGTGCCATGTCAGAAGAAAATGGCCCCATGTTCGTCACGTGCGGGTCACGTGACAATTCAAGCATCAAATTTGACTTTTCATTGCTTGAAGAACTTAAATTGCGTTAAATTTTTAATCACATGACCGAATAGCAAAACATTCAGATCTCAAGACTATAAAAACGCCACATCATCAAACTAACGGGATTGAAAAATTTTGCCACAAATATTTCAGGGTGAACTCATCCATTTGTGGATATTGACAACCACCTTACTTGAAAACTTAAATACTTGCACAATATTTATGCAGCTTATGATCTAAAAGATCATAGAAATCTTGAAGAGGGTCTATTTTCTTCTCTAAGGCGTGTCTGGTTCAATTGAGGGGACGAGCTTTTTAAAAATTTTGTGGGAGTGGAGGGAGAAAAAACGAAAGATAAACCCTTGTTTGCTTAAAAACACTAAGGAGATGAAAAATAAAGTAAATAAACCAATTTACCTTAATGTAATGAGAGTAGGTGAAAATGAGAAAATAAAGGCAAGGATNGAAATTTATAAATAGAACATATATATACAATTTATAAATCAGCCAATAATAGCCAAATCGAACAGCTATACAGCTGAATTTAATGGGACAATATCTCCAAGAGAAGCCTAAACTACTACAAACGCACCCACAATAATACAATATTCCCACTGTTGCAGAATACAACTCCTAAAAGGAGAATAAACACCAAAGCAAATATAGAAAAACACATATCACCCATAAATACTAAACACTGACACAACACACAACCTAATACTTAGAATAAGGCCCTCTCCACCAGCCAGATACCACTTTGAAACTCCCAGCACAAACCAACACCCAAGAAGGCAGAAGCTCGACCCAAGACACGGATCTGGAAGCTCCCTTCAAAAGACGGCTAATTACAACCTGCCCAAACGGACCAGCTGACTCCCAACGGAACATCAACGGATCAACACCAGTAGGCCTACGCCAAACCACTCCCCCCCACACAATCCAGCAGCTGCAGGACTGGAGTCGAAGACCGCTCCCGTTGGAGTACTCCATCTACCCAACACCAGCGACAGAAAATGAAAAAGGAAGATGGAAGCTCGAACCTTAATCTCGATCACCGGAAAGGCGGTGATCAAAACCGGTGACACCGACAAAGCCATCGTGAAGCCGAAAAAACCCCAAAAAAAGTTCGGCCATGGCTACCCAAAGCAAAGGGAAATCCACTAGAATGAGGAAACCATCGAACACCAGGCGGGCCGCTGCCATCCCCAGAGCTGGTCGAGGCCACAGGGTGCAGAGCACCCGTCGGTGGGGAGGCGCGTACAGATCGACAAGAACAAGTGGTTACATAAAGGGGTTTTTGGCAACAGTGAAATTTAGAGAGGGGGGTTAAAATGAGGGAGGTAAAATGAGG